TCTCTCCTTTTTTTTTTTTTTTTTTTTTGTGAGTGTGTGTATATGTGCCCCCTTAACCGGGGCTCAGGTCATGCCCACATTCTCCACCACGTGTAACCCGCTGCCCTTGTGGTCCCCCCGAGTTCGGGTGACCCTCGTCCTCTCTTAGCTGATCGGGCTCTTGGCCCTCTGGCCGATGGTAGCTCCCGACCGACCGTGCGGGCTGCCGGAGCTCGCCCTGGCTCGCAGACGCCGGGAAGGGGGCTCGGGCCCTCCCTCACTCCGAGCCCCGACCCAGGGCCCTAAGACGGGGACGCTAGTCCCTAGTCAGTGGAGGGGGTTACGTTCCCCCCAAACCCTCCACTCGCGGGGACCACGGCCCCGCCCTGGGTCACTTCTTCCCGGCCGGTTGTTCGGCGCGTTCCCCCCAGCAAGGGGATAGACTCACCCGGAGTCCCTGTCGCGGGTGAGGCTTCAGCCGCCGCGAGTACCGTGTCTCCTCCCCAGGGTCTCCCAACAGACCCGGTTCTTCCGTCCTGCCTTCAGCACTCCTCTCCCCCGGTCCATGGTCCGGTGCCCTTTGAATGGCCCGCTCCCCTGCGGACGCCGGGGCCGGCGTGGTCCCGTGACTCCAGGCCCCGCCCCTCCCCGCGCTCTCCCCGTCGCCTCCGGTGACGTCATCGCCCGGCGCCGGGGAACGCGGCGGGCCGACGGTCGTCTCGGCCGGGACTCCTGTTCCCGGACTCCCCTTCTCAGTGCGGGGCGGCGCGGACCCTGTGCCTGCCCCGTCACAGCAGGTTAAAAATCCCAATGGTCAGAGGAACATTTGGTGGTCTCAGCAAAGTTTCTAATAGAACAGTAGCTAATTCACAAAAATCACCACCACGAACTGGCTTCAGACAGGCCATAGTAAAAGACTTCACAGTAATGCTTCAATACTTTCATATAATTATAAGGGTCAAAAATGATAATGTAAGAAACAAGAATGTCTGTACTGGTCAGACCAAAGGTCGTTCTAGCCCTAGTCTTCCAACAGTGGCCAAAGCCTGTGCTTCAGAGGGAATGAACAGAATATGTAATCATCAAGTGATGTTGAGGCAATATCTAAAGAAAAAGCATCTCAGTCTAAACTAGCTTGGACATCTGTTTGATCTTTAGACTCATACAATATATTCTGTTAGTTTTAAATAATTAATGTTTCCATGAAAACTACTTGGCTAGCTGACCATCTGATTAGTTTAAGGAACTTTGTGATCAAGCCTGAATGCACTACCAGGCATGTGATATATCAATATACAGTAATGGAATGACAGTCACTTTTTTTTAGACATTAATCGAATGCCTTTAACTTGCATGAATGGCACTGATGACAACAGAACTACTCATGTGAATAAAGGTTGCAGCATCAGATCTGTAACCAAAGCTGGGATTAGGATCTTGCATTACTGAGTTTGCTCAAACAACTAGCCCATACTTCTCCACTGCACTGTAAGTTGCATGTTTGGAGATTCTAGTGAGCTGCTGACAAAGAACCTCTAGTCATCCATCCTTTTCTCTTTCTGCCTGTGGCACTGATATAACCTCCCCTTTAGGGTATGTCTAAACTACACCCCTCTTTCGAGAGAGGGATGTAAATTAGACAGATTGAAATTGCAAATGAAGCCAGGATTTGAATTTCCCGCACTTCATTTGCATAATGGCAGCCACACAGTCTTTCGAAAAAGGGCTTTTCGAAAGTAAAACCGCCATCTAGATGGGGTTCTTTTGGGGGAAAAAAACTCGTTTTGAAAGATCCCGTACTCCTCAAATGAAGAGTATGGAATCTTTCGAAAACTTTTTTTTTTTTTTTTTTTAAAGAACCCTGTCTAGCCGGCGGTTTTACTTCCGAAAAGCCCTTAATGGTCGCCATTGTAGAAATGAAGCACGGGAAATTCAAATCCCAGCTTCATTTTCAATTTCGATCTGTCTAATTTACATACCTCTCTCAAAAGAGGGGTGTAGTTTAGACATACCCTTACTGAAGTATATAAACACCTCACAAACTTTAATATATTTAACCTCATAGCACCCCATGACAGAATTTCAAGAAACTCAATGGCCATTTATTATCCAAATCTTTTTACAAGGAGTCGGTTTCCAAACTGATACTATTCTCCTGCTCCCTACATACCTGCATGAATCTGTAGATTGCATGTATACTCGTTCACTCGAAAAGCACAACCTGTGTGTGAAACAGGAACTGGCTCCAGGATTTTTACAGTTAGGCTATAGTAAAAGGCTTCACAGTAATCCTTCAACCATTTCATATAATCCTCCGTGCTAACTTTGGTGTCCCCAAAAGAACCTATATAAACAGTACAAAATAACATCAAATTAGAAACCTGCTATGGTAACTCATTCAATCAACTCATTTTTTAAAAAATCCCCCCAAAGAATTATAATTTTAATATTCCCTCTTATTTCATATGTGGTATTGGACATCACATTTACTCCAAGTTATCAAAAGAAAATACAAACAGTTATTATAATACATGGCACAAAACACAACTGTAACTGTTCATCATTTCTATGCAACTCCAAGAAAGCCTCTTTTTATTTAACTTCTATTCCCTTAACCCAAAAATGTGGTGACAAAGTTATTCTACTGGAATGCTCCAAAATACTCTCTTAACAGTGATACAGCCACGTTTGGGATAATTATTGTACAGTAAGGAAGTGGGAGACTTGTTTTTTAAATAAAGGTATTGTGTAATCGCTGTCACATTCAAGTGCTGTGATGCATAATATTTAAAAGTCAAATATTACAATGGTAACCATAAGAGACAACACAGACATCAGTGCTGTAGACTGCAATAGTGAATTCATTACTCATAACTGTAATTAAAACATCAGTTTCAAGAGTAATAGCAACTCCCATAAACAGTTGATCAAATATAGATGGAGTAAGGAAACTGATGGACTGAGTTTCACCATACTGTATTTGTTATTAGCTTGTTATTACTATCAGTGGGTTCCCCCCCCCCCAAAGATTATGACTGTTCCTGTTTTTCTTAAAACAATTTTATACACAAGTTAATCAAAACCTGTGAAAGCTACCATAAAATATGTATTCTATATTATTTACTGTGATCAATGACAGCATGGATCTTCACAAGAAAGAACATATTTAATAATAGTAATTTGCATTTCTTTAGCACCTTTCATCCAAAGAAATCAAAGCATGTTGTAAATATTGATTAAGCTTCACAACTCTCCAGTAATGCTTAATTAAGTTTTCACCATTTTAAACATTGCTAAACAGAGGCACAGAAGGACCTAATCCTACAAGTCTCACAGGGCTAGCCATGTTAGTCTGTATCCGTGAAAGCAACAAGGAGTCCTGTGGCACCTTAGGCCTGGTCTATACTAGGACCCAGAGCTGGCCCAAGGTACAGGCCAACCGGGCTACTGCCTGGGCACCCATTGTAGGGAGCGCCGCGCGGGACTGCCAGGCCAGGGACCCCGGGGCAGGACCACGTATGCGCTGCGCACCTGGGGGCAGGGCCACGCATGCACTGGGCACCCAGGGGCAGGGACACACATGCATCGCACTCCTGGGGGCGGCACTGTGTTCCCAGGGCGCACGAATGGCTCGGGCCAGCCCTGCTAGGACCTTAGTCTGAAATTAGCCCCTCAAGTTTGATTTTGTAAGTGTTGCGTCCACACTACCAAGCCCGTTGTTCTGGAATAAGGGGCGATGGAATTTGAAGTCTGCAGTCCTGCTTTTCATGAGGAATAACATTATTCCCGAATTTGTAAATCCAAAATGTTAGCGTAGACACTCTGGTACCACTAATTCAAACTTACTGGCCTCCAGAAGGCTTCCTGCAGTTCACCAGAGTGCTTCCTGGGGCTCTGAGTCCGAGACAGCATGTCCACATTAACAGAGCCTGCCTCGGACTACATTCAATTCTTCCCCTTAGTGAGAACACAGAACTTCAAATTTGTAAAATCAGCCGCCCAGAAGTCAAATTTAGTAACTTGAAAATAATCTCCTAGGGTAGACATGGCCTTAGAGACTAACATTTATTAGAGTGTAAGCTTTCATGGGTAAAATCCACTTTATCAGATGAATTGGAATGGAAGTTGCAGAAGCAGGAGTATCTATAAGGAAGAAGTTGCTTGTGTTAATGAAGCTAATCAAGTCTGGGTGGAAGAGGGTCATTCATAGCATTTGGTCTGGAGATGTGAATATTCAGAGGGGGAAATTGCCTTTGTAAAGTGTTAACCAGTTGAGATCCTTATTCATCCTAAACTGATTGTGTTGAATTTGAAGATGAATTCCAGTTCAGATGTCTCCCTTCGTAACCAGTTTTTGCAATTTTTTTGTAGAAGGATGGCTACTTTCAAATCCATTACTGAATGTCTAGGGAGGTTAAAATATTGTCCTACATGTCTGTGTGAGTTACCGTTCCTGAGGTCTGATTTGTGTCCATTTATCCTTTGACATAGAAACAACCCAATTTGGCCAATACACTTAGCACAGGAGCATTGCTGGCACTTGATGCCATGTGTCATGTTAGTGGATGTGCAGGTAGTTGAGCCCCTGATAATGTGGCTTATGTGGTGGAACATCATGCAGGGATGTTGCATGTAGATATGTGGACAGAGCAGGCAATGCAGTTTGTTGAAGGGATAGGTTCCTGGGTAAGTGTTTCTGTGGTGCGGTGTGTGGCTGCTGGTATTTGCTTCAGGTTGGGGCGCTGTCTGTAGGCGAGGACTGGCCTGTTTCCCACAGTCTGTAAGAGTGAAGGATCGTTTTCCAGGAGTGGTTGTAGGTTGTCAATGACGTGCTGGAGGGTTTTTAGCTGGGGGCTGCAGGTGTCACCTGCTTCAGGACAGACCCAACAAGGTAAATAACAGAACACCACTTGTTATCACTTACAGCCACGGAGCTAAAAACCATGAAAGCTTATGCCCTAATAAATCTGTTAGTCTCTCAGGTGCCACAGGACTCCTCATTGTTTTTATTAATCCTACAAGTATTTATGGATGAGTTGACCTCTAGTCCTATGAGTAGTTCCATTGATTCTAATAGGACTACTCAGATGAGTAAAGTTAAGCACATCCATAAGTGCTTGCAGGATACTGGTGAATTTTCTGTAACAATATAGCTGAATGTCTGAATCAGGAATAAAACACAGGAGTCCTGACTCCCAAGTCTGCTCTAACCCCCAGACAACTTTGAGATCTTCTATAAAGTCTTTTTATTTGAAAATTGAAACATATAACCTAAGTAGGTCATATTTAATTGGACAGGCATATTAAAGACACAGATGGCTTGGTTCAGCTATCATAGTTAGACATTACCAATTGGCTGTACATAAATGGTACTTTTCTCAGATGTTGGTCTGCTTCTGTAAGGATCATTATAAAACTGTTCAAAGTCCTGGGTGGGCTCCGGGTGTGAAGAGATCCAGTCTGACTCTGAATGCAGTGTGATGGGTCTGAAAAGTACACTGTCTGGCTGAAATGCTTCATTCAGCAAACTCTTCTCTCTAGATTCAAGATTCTCATACAGCTTCACAAGCTTCATGTTCTTGGAGATCAAAGCTGTCTTCAGGGCCTGCTCAGAGTGTTTAATCACCTTCATCTGACCCAAGGGAAAGAAAGAAAAGACTAAAAGCATTTATAAAACCAGGTTTCATACCTAGCATGTTTTCTAAACAGCTTCCTTCCTTCCTCTACCACCACCTGATGACCCAGCCTCTCATTCCTTTTCTGATGTGTTGGTAAGTTAACAGCTGTTTTCCACAGTCTCTTAGCTACCCAGCCAGGCTGTCTAGCTTCCTCTTTTCCCTACCATTTCCATACCCAGCCCCCCTCCCCAACAGAAGCAGCTTCTGCTTTTTGGGGGGTGCTGAGGTGGGGGGTGGAGGGAACCAGCATGGGAAAATTTTGCTGTAAACTCACAATTCCCAGTGTAGTTCTACATATGATGTCATTCCTTTGCTTCATCCTCCGCATTTAAAATATCCCTGTTGCTACTGTATCAGTCTAGTGGCTGCCACTGCAGAAAGATCTTTATACTTTATTCTGATCTCACTTGCACCAGTACAAAAACAACAAACAAAACAAAAAACAATGCAGCTCCCTCAGCTGACGTCAACAGATTTATGCTGATGTAGGAGAGCCAAGATCAAGAAGCTGTTTCTTCTGTAAGCTTAGGCAATTCTATCAATAACTGATTGAACAAAATGATCTGAGGAAGTGGGATTTTTTGATCTGAGGAAGTGGGTCTGGCCCACGAAAGCTCATCATCTAATAAACCATCTTGTTAGTCTTTAAAGTGCTACATTGTCCTGCATTTTGCTTCAACTACCCCAGACTAACACGGCTACATTTCTATCACTATGATTGAACAAAAGTCACTATGACTAAAAAAAACACCCCATAAACAATTCATCATGCACTGGGTGAAGCACTTATCAGTATAATACAAATGCCAATTTTTCCTCTGTAAGGACACTTCTATTAATCATCCACCATTTAGGATAGTATCTTGTTATCTCATCTCTTGCTTCTTCATGTATCTTCATCTGCGATTAGCAAACTGAATGCCAGATTGCTGAGTATCAAGATGGCTTTAGTAACAATCGTGCCTGCACTGCAGAGCACATTAGGAAATATAAAGTGCACGCAATAATTAAGAATACAACTTAATACCAATACATATGTAAATTTAGGAAAAAAGATTACATATATATTTAAATTTTCCTAACAATGTATTATAAAAAGTATTAGGCAGGACTGAGGAGATTTTTAAGGGGACTATGTTGATCCCATTAGTTCATTGTGCACAAAAAGTGCATTTTATTTTCATACACTTGATTGTACTCACTGCTGTTTTTTAAATGAGAAAAAGTATCAAAGGCAGAGAAGGGGGATTACGTTATCGGGTAGTTCAGTCCTCAAAAGGGGGACACTGAAATTCACCCTCTCACCCCTACACACCCTGTTAGTTACCAGCAGTCGCGGGTTATGGTTAGTTCATTGTGCACAAAAAGTGCATTTTATTTTCATACACTTGATTGTACTCACTGCTGTTTTTTAAATGAGAAAAAGTATCAAAGGCAGAGAAGGGGGATTACGTTATCGGGTAGTTCAGTCCTCAAAAGGGGGACACTGAAATTCACCCTCTCACCCCTACACACCCTGTTAGTTACCAGCAGTCGCGGGTTATGGGTCGCACACACGGGTCCCAGCACTCCCCCCACAGCCACCCCAGAACTCCCCCTGCCCCTCAGAATGGCCCCACCCC